TAATAGAACCTCAAATAGATATTTGTTCACAAATATTTTATAATACCTTCTTATATATCCTATTTATATAATATGAGACTTTTAAAAAAAATTAATTGTAATTTATTGTTCTGCCAAAAATTAAGGTTGAAATAAAACTACTAATATAATATAGAATTTTGGTATACTATAATTTACAATATACAGAAGGAGTATATAGTTGTCCCGCGCAAAACAGTTTTACTTTTTGCAATTTAAATGTTGTACATATTTTGATAGACGTAAATAACATGTGGTTGTATGCTGTATAGTGTCCTGTATTAAGAATTAAGATTATTGTTATGCAATTATAATTGCAATTATAATTATGCTTAAAAATAAAATTTAAAACATTACACCAAACAAAAACCAACAACTGGAAATTGTGTAATTATGATGTATAATTAAACCTATAATAATATTATACAAAATATTACCGTAATACAAATATCATTGGCACCGTGGCTTACGCTATAGGTACCGTCTATCATACGCATATTATATTTTTAATCGTGATCATACGTGAATATTACAGCAGGAAATCTTATAAAACAACACTATATCGTACGTTGAATAAATTATGGTATTAAAATAGTTTCTGGCTTATGCCATTCCTGGAATTTCTTCATTGTAGATAAGCTATCGTCGAAACGCCCGTACCATGAAAATATAAATTATAATTAGTAATTACTTTCAAAATGAATCAATTTATACTCTATGGCTATAATCATAATCATAATGGTCACTAGTTGCCGAACGACGGACGCCGATAATAATATTATTATCATAATAATATGTTGTTACTTATTAGCACGGACGTATATTATAGTCCGTTCTTATTAGTAATATTATTATTTATTAGTTTATTACGGTAGGTAAGTAGAATTGACTATAACGACGGCCCAATACCCTAATACTGCTAAAGCTTATAATATTATGATATCAAATATAATATAGGACATAGGCGTATATTCTGTTTGATTGTTTAAAAATAGAATATACCGGTTTTGCAGTTTCGCGCATCGTGACTGACGGCTAGCGGCCGTCTCGAATCAAATATCTCCCACTCTCGCGCATAATCGTGCAAAACTGTAATCAGTTGGAGCGAGAATAAACACTGGTGTGATTCCTTAGAACGCGTCTAGTGACGCGCGACCGGCGCGGCTGACGCGGCGCGATTCTATTTTTGGTCGCGTCGGGACTGCTTTGCCTATTTTTAAATGTAGGTGATTCCCTACAACGCGTCTGCCGCTCGCGACTGTCATGCGCGTCTACAGCCGCGCGACTCTGACCGCTCCAGAGGCAGTCGAGACGCGGTCGCGCACGCGTTTTAATATATAATTAATTATATCTACATATTATTTTATTGTATAAAAATGTCTTCAAAAATTACATTTTCATCTGAAGATGATAAAACGCTTGCAGAACTTGAAGGATACCACCCTTGTCTGTATGATTTAAAACACACTTTATATAAGGACCAAACAGTAAGGGAAGATGTGTGGAAACAAATTTCAAATGAAGTGAACAAGCCAGGTATTGTTATTAAATTATATTATTATATAATATTTAATACTATATTATATTTTATTATATTATTATTATTAAATAGTATATTACACTTATATTATATAAAATAATATATTATACTAGCTGAACCCGTGCACTTCGTTGCCCATTATATGTTGCCCATTATAAGTGTACCAACTATATGTGACTCAAGCCTTGTTCAATTCGTTATTTAATATTCGGCGTATCGTTTCAATATTAATCTTAACTATTCCGTTGCCCTGAATAAAAATTCTGATACGTTTTCAAATAAAGTATATATTGATAATAAAATTCAAGTATTCCATTGTAAAGAATTGTTACAGAAATCAATATAATGCATTTTGATAAACAATGATTTTCGTTTTGTTTTCTGATGCAAAAATAAACAACGAAGCCGGTTTTCCAACACGCGAACTGGCAACGTACAGCTGTCCGTGCGAAAAACATGGAAATTCCAGATTGATCCCACAGACTTCCAACGATTGCCCTTGATGATCGTTGATTGTATTACATTGTTCATCAGTTTCTTAACGGACAATCGTGTACCATTACACAATTTAGGAGGATTTCGATTCCGCAACATAATTATGATCGATCCCACTTTTACCTGTAAATTATGCGGTGGAGTCCGGGCACATCAAGCGAGTTCAAAAATTCTGTCGGATAGTTGACCGCTTCGTTTTCGTCGGTTTGTCAACGGATTTGTATGAACGCAGTTCTCCAGCAATTTTACTCTGAATTGTAAAATTCAAGCTATCGACGTCCTTATTCCTCGCTGCTAGTATTGCCCGTTCACTCATCCAATCGAGATTGTTATAATTGACATCAATGTTTGGGAACACTTTTGTAATGAGTTCTTCCTTCGACGATGTGAACTCACAAAAATTTGACGGAAACGATATTAATCCAGTCAAAACATCAATCGGAATGTGTCCATTACCAAACGCCAGCAGTTGTCTCGAGAATTCGGCAGCCGGTGGGTCGTTTTGCAACGCAACTCTCATGTTCGTGGTCAATTTCAACTTCTTCTTCTTCTTATAATAACATGTTGTCGAATTTGAGGCGGCGTTTGTGCAGCGCTGGCCTGAGTATTATGGGCACGTCTAAATTCATTAATCTTTCTTGCATTACGTGTACGCCGTTCAATGATTGTTCTTCTCTTCTTCTCATAGGAGGCATGATTCAAGCATAAAAATTCTCTCCAAAAAACAATAGTCGTTTTTGATTGAAAAAGTTCATAGATAACATAAAACGATAATGTTTCAAAGTAAAATGAATAATGTGCCAACTATTATATTTGTTTACTCTTAAGTTATAAGTGTCTATAATAAAAAAATGTATATCAACCAGAATATAAAAATATATTTTTTTTTCCATTTTTATTATTATTATTTATATTATATTTATATTTATATTTTTATCTGCTAGAGGGCGCCACCGGTGTAACTCAGTTTTTGTCTCTAAATCTCTAACTAACATGAGTTGGGTCCATAATTTATGCTATAAACCCGCTCACCGACATTCTCTATCATTTAAAAAAAATTTGAGCAAAATCGGCCAAGCCGTTCTCAACTGATGCTATTTCTAATTTTTTGTCTCCATTTTTATATATAAAGATTATATTATATTAATTTATTCTTTCTATACTATACATTGCCAAATTGAGAACGTACATTTTTAAAACTAAATTAAAATTAATATAAACGTAATGTTATGCAAAATTAATAATCAAACTGAATTTAAAATTAAATATAGACATTAAAGATAAAATATAATCAATAGGTACTTTGATATTAAGTTATAAAACATATTTAAAAAATAATAATAAATGCTTGAATAATTTATAAAAATATTTTTCTGTTAAACATAAGACATAACATAGTGTTATCGTTATATGAAGTATCTGTTCTTAAAGTTTGATAATTTTGCCACGGGACTGTACCTTGTGGGGAATTGAAAAATTGTTTGAACTCATCTCTTACTATAAAGCCCTCATAATTACCATAACCTCCCATACGCTCAAGGTGAATCATATTGTTCGGAAGAGATTAATTTGGGTCATAATTATATGTATAGTATCGTTCTGTTGTATTGTTTATTTTATATTTATTACGTAAAAGGTTATGTAGGCAGCATGCAGATAACACAAGATGATCAACAGTTTGTGTTTTTAGTGGAATAGGGGTGTACAAAACTCTAAACACCTGACTCAGAAGTCCAAAACTATTTTCAGTAGTTCTTCTCGCCCGTGAAAGATGATAATTAAACATTTTTTTCTCACTATCATTTCTGGATTCAATTTTCGAGTATGGTCGCATCATATGAGGGTCTAAACGAAAAGCTCCATCGCCAATGAAAACATATGGCAATATTTTGTCTGAATTTGGAACTTTGGCATTAGAAGGAACATAAGCACCATTTTTATTTTTTCTGAGATTTTTGATTTCGTAAATATCACCCTCTTTGCCATAAGATCCGATGTCTACATAAATGAACTTACAGTTAGCATCTATAATCGCTAACAAAACAATTGAAAAAAAATCCTTTATAGTTAAAAAACAATGATCCGCTATTCTTTGGTGAAAAAATACGAATATGTTTGACATCAATGGCACCTGCACAATTCGGAAAATTCCATTTTTCCCAAAACTCTTTCGATATTTCTACCATGTCATTTTTGGTTGGTGGGGGTAATAATATGGGTGTCAATCGATTGCTCAAACTTTTCAATACTAGTCTCACAATACGTGTAATATAACTTTGGGAGATGCGAAAAGCAAAAGCTAGGGACCGAAAAGATACTCCAGTCGCCATAAACCTGTTAAAAAAAAAAAAATTAAATTATAAAAATACTTGAATTTGTCCACAGCAATAAATATATAATATAAAAAGTATATATAGGCTATTAGTTATTACAAATTTGGTATTATTTGTAATATGAAAAATATATAAATTATTATAAATAATTAATGTTTATTAGTAGTTAATGTATACCAATCCTGGCGCAGCACCTTTAATAATAATATATCAGTAAAAGATCACAAAGAAAACAATGTGCAAAAAGATCAGAAAATTGAAATGCAATAATAATTAAAAACATTTTTCCCAAAACTTATGAAATGCAATAATAATAAAAATATTTTTCGCAAAACATAATTATTAAAAATAAAAATCGAAATGCAATAATAATTAAAATATAAAAGTAGGTATTATACTTACAGGCTATACCTAGGAATAGGTTGATACATGTATACCTGTTCACATAATTAATTATATATAATAATAAATATTCAAAGAAAAATATAAGTCACAGATACTAAGTAAGCTATATTACCTATATACTAAAAAATTGAGTTGAAAACTTTTTAATAGGTAGGTAGGTGCCTACTGGTAATAATAATAATAATAATAATGTAGAAAGGTACATTGATTTAATTATGATGAAGTATTGGTATAGCAGTTAGTTTGTCGTTCAAATCAAATACAACCATTTTATTTTTAATATCTGAAATATTCCACTGTTTTATATCTTCTGATAATGTTTTTATAACAAATATATTCAATACAGATGACTTTAGAGGTTTAATAAAAAGATCTTCTTTTTCTTCAAAAGTTTTACCATAAAAAACTGTAATTTTATCAGAAGATTTTTTTAATTCAATTATTTGTACAATTTCATTAGAGGTGGTAAGAACAAAACAATCGGGTTTTTGATTTGAGTACTTTAATTCATTATGACTGATTGGTAGAATTGATTCATTTTTGCATAGTTCATTATATCGCCTAATCACTTGCTGTAGAGGTTTTTCATTTTTATGTAACATTTTCTTTAAGACTTTCATGTAGTTCTCAAAAGGAAAAGTGCTACATGCGTCGAGAGGTCCATACCTTTCATAATCGTCACACAAATGAAGTATTCCATGTACATTATGGGATATAAAATGAGCACCATAGATATACTGGAATGATTTGACAAAATATTTTAATAAATTACGAGTATAATGTAGAAGTTGTTGGTTATTATCACTTAAAAGAATTCGCATTGAAATATGTAATGATAAAAAATTTTGATAACATTCTTCATTTAATATATCTTTAAGTACTACTGGACCAGTATATAAAAGAAATTGTCGGAACTCAGTGGCTTTCCACCGACATACATCTTGGATTGGTCTAGGTTTTCGGCAAAAATCTCTTGTAATACAAGTTTTTAGTTGAAGTAGTGATTTAGTTAGTGTTTTACATTTCCAACTTGGTATACGGCTATTAACAGGTCCTTTACTCAGCCAAAGATTAATTAATTTTTTCATAACCCCTAGGCAAATTAAATGCATATAGTCCATTGAGAATATTTTAACTATATTTATATTAGGAATTAAAGTAAGACAAGATATTGTAGTTGAAGTATGATATTCTTCATTTTTCATTAAAATATAATCTTCATGTGTTCTTTCTGTACAATCGGTATCACTATAAGGGAAACATACACGATTATGCATGTATGCACCTTCGTGTGTACATCTAGAACATGATGAAAAACCAGAATGACCCTTGGCCCTCATTAAATATGCTTTTGCCGGTGAATCGCAACAAATTACTTCTATAGAAATATCTTTTTTAAACGAATTTACAATAATTCCATTCATAGTTAATTCTAGAATTTCAGATACCAAGTCCCTTAAATAAATATTACTGTCTTGTGGTTTTTCATGACCATGATAAATACCCACAGGAAAGACATAATTTTTATGAGGCATGATGTACGCCAGAATTGGCCAGAATTGACTGGAACTACTTTTTGTAATCGGCAACCCATCAATTCCTAGTGCAATTTTTATAATGTCAGTAGAAGAAATTATTGATGAAAATCTTAAAATCCCAGCAGCCAATCCAAAATGGTAATATATACCAGAATCTATATTTATTATGTTGGTAACTTTTGATGAACCCGATTTTAACAATGTTCTACAATCTTTAGGTAAATATTCTAAATTACAATCATTTTTTAATATTTTAAGAAGAGAATTTACAGAATTTTGGTTAACATTATAATCTATCATCCATTTCCCAAGTTTCTTTTTTACAAGATCATGATTATTGCATTTAATTTCTTTATCTGATTCTGATTCGTTATTACCATAATATGCTGAATTTAAGTCGGATTGATACCGAGCTTGTTTAACATGAAAAGCTTGAGATATGTTATCATGTTCAATAGACTGTTCTAAAGAATTTTCAAGTATTTTATTATTTTCAATTTGTTGACTATGTAAAGAATTATTTGATTCGTTAAATGGAAAATAATTTGAATCGTTACTAGATAAATCTAAAGTTTTTAATTCTTCTTGAATTTTCCTACGTTTATTTCTATAGCTTGCCATTCTATAATAAAATTCTTAAATAATATTATATATTTTACCCTTTATTTTATTGTTCTGACAAAATATTAAGAAGTTATTGAACAATCAAAAAAACTATAAATTTAATACCTACTTAAATAATATTAGGTACCTATGTACCAAATACCAATATGTACTTCAAAAAGTTAAATACTTTTTTCTGTTTTCACAATTAAAATTAAAATTAGGTACTTACACGTATTATACCTATACGACGACGGTAACAACACTTGTGTTGTAGTTGTATGTTGTTAAGTACCTTGCAGATACTTAATAACGCGACGGCGTCTCGGTAAATTGAAAATGACAACGGAACAAGTCGATTTGCAATACCTACTCGTTCAACACCAGAAAAATTATTATAAAAAAGACGTTCGCTAATACGAAACGTGCCACGTACTTACTTACGTTCACTGTTCAAACTTTAAAGTTTTAACATCAACATTCTACCTAATTAGTAATTAGTAGGTAATTGTAGGCTCCGGTCGAACTTGATCGGCGTTAACACACGTTAGGTACGAAACGTTATTATATGACCACGGCAATGACGCACGTAATAAATAATAATAAATACGACGATCACTCGGCGGATTAAAAATGGCAGACAACGGGGTAAATCGCAATGACCCGGACAAAGTATAAAAAATGACAGCCGTTGATACAAAACGTATGTCACACGTACTTACTTTCGAGGTACTACAAAAAGTTTGAAATTCAAACTATAATTACTAGCGACTAGTAAATAGCTCCTATTCGAATTTGATCGGTGTTAACACGCATAATATATTAATAAAGGACATGAAGACACGAACAAATTATTATTATAGTCTATTAATCTGGCTCTGGAGCGTCACAAGGCGGCAGCCGGCAGGATGGTTGACTATGATGGCGGGTGTACGGGACACGCACGGGTATTCCCTATGCATTGGACAGCCCATAGAGTAAGAATATAGACAGCCACACCAAAAACGTATTGCCGTATTTTTAGAAATTAGTATATTGGAATAATATTGTATAATATTATTTATATTATTTTTATCGTGCAGTGCGTGCACCATAGACATAATATTATAAATGTGTATATTATGTCTGCAGACTGCAGGTCTATAATATGGTAACATGGATAATTGATAATATCATTGTGTATAGCTGCAGCCATATAGAATACATAATAATTATTGTTGAAGAAAGACAAGTAGGAAATGGTGTAAAATATTAAAATTTAAAACGCTTAAAAGCGTAATGTGAAAGCAGTCCCCATTGGCCATCGGGCACTTGCATTTGCATAGTTTTATGACGATTAAACATAGTACTATCTATAGCCGTGGCCCGAGAGCGGTACCACCAGATTCAATAATTACAATTTAAATATTGTTAGGTACCAATTATAATTATTTATTCTGGTATATGCATATTACATTACAAAATACAAATTACAATACTACGCACGTAGCACAAAAAAGGTGACTGAGCTCTGGTCTGCACGGCATTTTATTAAATGACTTCGAATGCTAGTGTCAAGAAACACTAAACCTTTAACGAAACATTGATGACTGGACAGTTGGACACTTATCGTGACGATGACCGTATGTCCGTACGCATTTATTAAGAAAATCATTACCAACCAATTATAAATAACTCACAAAATGGAGCATATATGATTAATTAAAAAAAATACTTACGTATCGGAATTAATATCGTAGGTAGGTACATTACCTACCTATATTAAATACACGTTTAATTACCTAAATAGGCACCTACCTACTTTATTTTATTGTAAAATAGTGTATCACACTATTTATAAGGATTCTAAAATAAAAGTGAACTTGCCCAGCCTTTAGGCTTCATCACAATGAATCTGTAACTTTTAAGGAACATACATTACCAACATGGGTATTATTATATCTTATAGGTACCTACTTAATGAAAAGTTCATGAATAACCTAATTTAAAAAAAAATCATAATATATTATTTACTTACCAGCTTTATTTAGAAGAGTAACAACATCCCCGTATTCGGAAGAAGAAAATAAAATAAAATATGCTGTAACTACCTATAAGTAATTTTTACGCATGTAGGTACCTATTAAGTTCTATTATACGTACGTCGTACATTTATTTCAAAAAGGTAAATCATCAACTACTGTCTATATACTGATAAGATATTTATATTAGGGCATTAGCCATTAGGTTTATACGTATTATACAACAGTAATTAGACGATCTAAACAATTGATCTCAACAATTGATCTCATATTATTCATCAGTTAGATAATACCTATAGATTATAGTACATACTATAATAATACACCTTAGGTATACACCCGCACTTGAACATTCAAGGCGTTTACCACCGGACAAAATATAGGTAAATTAGTGAATATTCCGTATTTGCAATATAATATATTTACCTAAAACCTACCATGTTTTTCGTACATACAAATATAATAATAATTATATAGTATTTAATAAATAAATCATCAACCTCTAACTTCTAATACAATGTATTTAGTTTGTGAGTAAAAGTTACAATTAGGTACCTAAATAATAAATATTATAATATGATTAGCCAGAACTTATTTTTTTTTAATTCTACTGAATTAATTACCATATTTAAAATGTTTAGTATTTAATAACACAAAAAAAAAATCAATAAGTTACTACTTGAAACAATTCATGATTTACCTTTATAAATGGCATAACAATCTCTTTGATTTAAATAGGTATATAATTATTATAAAAAAAAAAAACATATGAAGGTAATAATAAATTTTTATAATAATAGTAGCTGTTCATATTTTTAATTTTTACTCTAAATATTAATATATTTAGTCTTAAGTTCATCTTTTTCTTCTAGAGTAGTAGAGTCTTATAGATCACAGTTGTTCAGTTATTGTTCGAATGTATAGCAAAAGTTTGAAAATTATGCATTGATTCATCATTTTTTTTAATCCAGTATTTTTTAAACGAGATGCACTGTAATTAACATAGTAATTAATTGACAAAGTTTGAAATGGTATTTGTTAAAATATACATTGAATATAATTGTCATGCTTCAAAAATGTAGTTATAGGTTGAAAGAACATTGGTAGTATAAACGATACACGTTTTAGTTTACATGGTCTTGAATTGATATATAATATATATCAAGTCGAATACAAAAATGAAGATTCAAATGAAACGAATTTTATGAAAACGATAATTCGCGGTGTAAACGTAAAATAAAACTATTGTAATAAAAAAAAAAATTCAAACTTTTGTTTTTGGTAGGTAATCAAGCCGATTAGGTACCAAAATGAAGATTCAAATTTAACGAGATTTTAACAAACACCTTTTCAAATATTGCTGAGTAAAATATTGTCTTTTCTAGTAATTGATCAATGATCATTCAAACTTTTGCTGGTCTTCCCTGCAGTTGTTCCTATAATAATACCATATTATTAAAAAGTGTGAAATAAAATTGATATACCGGTTAGATATACCTGGTAATATACTGTTCAGGGATAAGTACTTATTGGCATAAATCTTTAATTTTTACAATGTCTATGTTTAATGGTTGGTTCTTCGTTATTAGTTAATTTTAAGTTTAACAAAAACAAGGTACTTTTTATGATATCGTATTATCATGCCTCTTAACTCATAAGTCTTATCATAGCATATGATTTTAATATTTTATTATATTATTATATTATTAATAATTATGCTAGTAATTTATTAATCAAAGACTGATATATAACAATATAACTACATTTTATATTATATCAATTATTATTATAACATTTTGTCATAATAATAAAAAAAATGTTTCATTAATCAAATAGATAATATAAATTTTTGTTGACTTTATTAATTAAGACAAAATAAATAAAAATAATTTTGTGTACTAACATACCTACTAGCTATAGTAGTTCAGTAGATATGCAATTGCAATTTAAAACTTCTAATCCTTATGTATTAATATTAACTATATATATATATATTACCTAACCTTATAATAAATAATGATCTTCCAATCAATAATCAACCACATACTGATATATGCATCAATAATGCAATAGAAATAGAACGATACACTTCATAATATAAATAATAGTAATTATAATAGCAACAATAAAATAACAGACTATTAGGTACATTCAATTCAAATTTTTAAAGTTAATTAAAAATATCAGCGGGTCACACTCACATAAGATTACATGAATACCTAATATTACAATTTTAAACCAAAATATCAATATATCATTATTTGTTCAGCTTCAGCACATAATTTTTCAAATTAATATTATCTAAAAAAAGTTAAAATGTTAATTTTATCTAAGATAATTTTCCCACCCTCAGAGTGCGTATTACCCTGATACTCTTGGGCAATTGCCCACCAGTTAACACGGCCTCCTTTAAAGCCGGCCCTGTGAGTGATATATATATATACAATTGTGCAACCATTAAAGATATATATATATATTGCTATACCTACCTTACAAAATAATTAAATATTTAAAAACAAAATAAGTGAAATTCTAATAAATACTACATTATATTATTATATTATAATTATTATAATACCAGTAGTTATATAATAATAATAATTGTATAATGTTAATTATCGTACTATTTTTCAAAACAAAACGAACATTCATATTGTTATTATCATTATCATAATATTATCGTTTATTATCAGTACTCGAAAAATGTATTGCAAAAAACCTAAATGTATGTTGTTTGTATTAATTATACCTATTTGAGTTAACCTAAGATAGTTTGAAAGGTGAAGTTGAAATCTATGAAATGATGTATTTAAAATATATTACCTATTGCAATTAATATAGGTAGTCACAACTAACAACTGATTAAGCGTAACAATATTATAACAATTATCTGGATTCCGGATAGGTATAAGTGTATAACCTAAGTTGTATAAAAGTATATTATTCGATCTAATGTGTTATATTATTGGCAAATATTTTCACAACTTATCATACAACATACGAATACAATATTGATCGGGACAATTAATAGAAATATTCTGAAAATATGTGTATCGAAATATATTATTGGTAAATATTTTCACAACTTATCATACAACATGCTAATAAAATATTAATCGGGACAAGTAATAAAAATATTCTGAAAATATGTGTATTGAAATATATTATTGGCAAATATTTTCACAACTCATCATACAACATAAGAATACAATATTGATCGGGACAATTAATAGAAATATTCTGAAAATATGTGTATCGAAATATATTATTGGTAAATATTTTCACAACTTATCATACAACATGCTAATAAAATATTGATCGGGACAAGTAATAAAAATATTCTGAAAATATGTGTATTGAAATATATTATTGGTAAATATTTTCACAACTTATTGTACAACATACGAATACAATATTGATCTGGATAAGTTTTGAAAATATTCTAGTAATATGTAATTGAAATATATTATTCAACAAATATTTTCATAATGTTTTTAAAATTTTTCTTGGAAAATATTGCAAGACCCATCAATATACCACATGGTGAAAATATTAATATTTTCCAATTGCTGTGTGGGCACCTACTGAGATGAAATTCTGAGTCAAATGTATGACTCTTAAGCCGCGTCGCCGTGCTCGCGAAAAGCGAACGCCGTTTGGACGGCCGGCAAAGGGCGTTTGAGCGGGCGATCCGACCGCGTCGGCGAGCAGACGACCGGCTCCGCTGCCCTCGGACGTATAATACCCGAGCTTTGCGAAAAAAATCGAACTTCGAGACGCACGTATTTATGCCTGTATATAGCGGTACCTACTCGATACCCAATCGGTACTTACTCTCGTTTAGGAGACGCCGGTCCTCCCCGGGACTCGTTTTTGAAAAAGTAGGGCAGCGCGCCGGATATAAATTTAGCGGTAGAGATGTGTTGTTCGCGAACGAACGGATCACATTGAACGGGTCAAAGTAGTGAACGAGACCGATCCGGATCGCCGAATGACTTGATTCGGGTCGCCAAATATCGTTGGTTTTTTTACATCTGAATACCTACACTGTACGTGTCACACGAACGGGTCATGTTGGTTCCTATGCACCCCCACCCTAGACTTGCCACTGCTGAAAAAACAAACGAATAATATTGAACGAATCACACGAACGGGTCTTTTGGAAGATGAAGATGGGCGATTTAAATCGATTTTTTAAAAAATCGATTTTTTTAGTCGATTTTTCGATTTTTTGAATCGATTCTAATAGGGCGATTTTTTGCTGAATCGATTTTTTTTGTCCGATTTTTTTATTTCCCAGGGAATTTTTCCCTCTTGGCGCAGACACTGTTGGACACATGTTTCCCCCCCCCCCCCGATCTCCTATCGGTCCTTGGTAGTCTTTACAGTTTACTCTTTTGTAGGTTAGTTTTAGTACTTGAATCTTTATTCTTTAGTGTCTTTACGTTTACTCTTTCTTAATTCTTTGATCTTTCGTGTTTGCGACTACTGAGTGTACTGACCTGTGTGGCTGTGTCGTATTCGTTTGCGTCTGCGTCTTTACGACGTTTACGAGTATATCGTCTACATTTCGTAGTTTGTACTGTTGCCCATTGGCCATTGCGACGTGTATTGTAATTGTACTGTTGCCCGTTGACCATTACGTTTTTTAAGTCGGTGCGTGCAGTGTTTGCCACCTTCATCACTCGTAGTGTTAAACTGTTAACCGTGTCCATTACGACGTGTATTTTACTGTTGCCCGTTGGCCATTACGTCTTTTAAGTCGGCGTTCCCGTTGCAGTCTTTACAAGACCATAATGGCTTCTTCAAATTATTCAATAATGTGGAATTACTTCAGAAAAGTGGATGATTCTAGTGTAGGTGTTTGCAAATTATGTGATACTGTTGTGAAAACCGGTGGCAATACGACCAATTTAAAACAGCATCTCAAACGTAAACACCCGGGAATTCAAATTCCGAATCCAAAAACAAAAACTCGCAAAGTAAACACCACAACTACTGCAGTTGATAATGATGAACCAGATGAAGATGGTGCTCTACTTGTTCAATCCATAGTAAGTTTCATTATTTAATTACCAAAATATTTCAATATTTCAATTACATGGACATTTCATAATTAATTGTATTAATTTTTAATTGCAGTCTGGTACTCAAACCACATTAGATTCAATGATAGCTTCTACGTCTCGACCAGTATCGCAATGTTCCATGCAAACTGAAGCTGATTCGGTTATTTCGAGAACCAGTGATTCAGTTTCTGTGGTATCGAGTTTTACTTCAACTAGCAGATCGTCATCGAGTTTAAGTTCAAGATTAATTCAACCTACAATTGATCAATCAATTAGGGACTTGAGATCTTATGAAAGTAAGTGGTGAAATTTACATATTCAAAGAAATAAAAACGCATTTTTGTTTAGTTGGATAATTTTTGTTTTAGTTCAAATAACTGATTAATGGCAAGTATGCTTTTTAAAAAATTAATTTGAAATAAATATAACCCTTTTTAATGAGCTGCGTAAGCCGTAAATTTCAAGTTATTAGTGTTAATAATTGTGTAGAAAATATACTATTTTCAATGTTGACAAGTTGCCATATTTTCTGGTCAACTTTTAGTTTTTCTAAGTTTTCTATGTGAAGGTTTTGAAAAAAATTCTTAAAATTGTTTTCTGTAATATTAAATTATGAAATATTTTTAAACATGAATATTTGTCATAATAGGTTATTATAATTGTCTGTGAGTCCTTTTTTATATAAGGTACATGACTTCAAAGTTAAGGGAAATTAAAATAAATTAAACAATGTATAATATTTATTCTATGTGCACATTTCTGTATAAATCTGGTAATTTTTACTATTTTAATAAATTAATTTTTTTAGGTGGTGGTGCTAAAAGTGTACCAATCACAAACGCATTGGTCTATATGTTGGTCAAGGATAATTTGCCGTTGTCATCAACTGAAAAAGAAGGTTTCAAGTACTTTATGAAAAAAGTTGTACCATTGTATAAAGTTCCAAGTAGAAAGACGGTAACAGAACTTATTAGTTCTAAGTATGACGTTTTATCCCTCCACATTAAAAATAAGTTATCTTTAGTTGAAAGTATTACACTCACTACAGATGTATGGACTGATACGACAAATACTAAAAGTTACCTAGGTATGACAGTCCATTTCCTTAGTTTATGCAAATTAAAGTTGGAAAGCGTAACTCTTGGAGTGCTAGAGCTTGGTGAACGTCATACATCGGCAAATATTGTTGGATGGCTGAATGATATACTTAGGACATGGGATATTGACAAACATCAAGTTTTTTTGGTTGTCACTGATAATGGTGCAAATATTAAAAATGCAGTGTATGAACGTTTTGGTAAAGATAAACATTTGCCTTGCTTTGCGCACACACTCAATCTTGTCGTGCAAGATGCTTTAGACCATACTGAAGACATTGCCATTATCATTAATAAGGTAAAACATTTGGTGACATTCTTCAAACAGTCTGTATCGGCATCTGATGAGCTGCATAAAGTTTGCAAATTAAAACTTAAGCAATCTGTTCCTACTCGGTGGAACTCTGTGTATATAATGTTAGAAAGATTTATTAATTGTTCAGACTTTGTAGCGTCTACTATTGTGAAATTTCCTAAAGGTCCTCCCATGCTATCTGGTTGTGAACTCTTTAGTGCCAAAGAAGTTATGAATTTGCTTAAACCTTTTGAAGCTGCTACTAAAGAGTTGTCCGGCCAAAATTATGTTACAGGAAGCAAGATTATCCCCTTAATGCATTGTCTAGCAAAAAAAATAGACCCAATTACAGTCACTAGTGTCGTTTCTTCAAATTTAAAGGAAAATTTAATTAATAATTTAAAAACCCATTTTGGTAGAGTCCAGTATCTAGAAATTCTTTCTATTGCTACAATTTTAGATCCTAGGTTTAAGATGTTACATTGTAATGACCCTATAGCTTCTTCTAGAGCCATGTCTAAAATTAAAAAAAAAATATTAGATCTTCGAACTGAGAATAGTGAGACCAGTTCAAATGCAGCTGTTTCATCTTCAGATGAAGATGACCCAAACAGTTTATGGTCTGTCCATAAAGAACTGGTAACAAAAAAAGCCTTGAACGAACCTAGTTGTAGTGAAATGCCAACTGATTTGAAACACTATTTGAACCAACCCACACTGCCTTTAGGGGATGATGTTTTAAAGTTCTGGGATACTCATGGACCCATATATCCATATTTAAAGAAAATAGTAGATCCCTACTTGTCAATGGTAGCCACATCGGTACCTTCTGAACGGATTTTTTCCAAAGCAGGACAAATTATGACCGATATTCGTAATCGATTGACCGGTGATAATCTCAACAAACTTTTATTCCTTGGATCTCAACCAGAAAATGATTGGCATTTAGAATAATTATATAAAATTTATTAAATAAAATTGCTTTATCTATCTCTTTTCTAATTTAAAATCATCTTATATAGAAAATTATTTTCTTCAATATCATATTTTTCAATATTTTATTTCACTTACAATATACACTATTTATCTTCTTCACCATCAATAAATAAAAATATTCTTTACAGGAAAAAAAATAAACATCATTGTAAAACCATAAGGTTCTTTGTTCCTTTCATAATCAATATTTTATTTCACTTACAATATACACTATTTATCTTCTTCACCATCAATAAATAAAAATATTCTTTACAGGAAAAAAAATAAACATCATTGTAAAACCATAAGGTTCTTTGTTCCTTTCATAATCAATATTTTATTTCACTTACAATATACACTATGTATCTTCTTCACCATCAATAAATAAAAATATTCTTTACAGGAAAAAAAATAAACATCATTGTAAAACCATAAGGTTCTTTGTTCCTTTCATAATCAATATTGTTAAAATTGTATTGGAGTAAATTATGAATTAATAATCATCTGTATTACATTTAAAACATTGTGATAATGGTATATTTTTAACTGTATTTGGAGTAAATTATGTGTTATTAATAAAAGTATATATTTAAAAGAATATCAAAGTGAATTTTTTTATTATTACTCATACATCAAAGATAGTACAATGAACAATTTTTAGTCACTAAGTAACTACTATGATGTAACTATTATGAAATAAATCATGCAAATGTATCGAAAGGTAAGATATCTATGAGTTACCAACTTTACACATAAAATCATGTAACCTCTACAATCTACGTGCACGTGATTTTTTTTTCTTAAAAATGAAATATTTACGAAACAAGCTCAGTAGAATCAATTTTACCATTTAACAGTCCCTTAATAAATTAACTATTTTTATAATATATGTGTGAGTATTAAATTTATTATTTAATAGTTGATAATTATAATTATCCATAGGTTACTTTTTATATTATATGAGGTGGATATCAATTTAAAAAATTAAATTTTATAAGATTAAATATAAGAGTAAAATGCGTTTACGACATTATAAGGTCAACATTTAAAAAATGTTAAGTTTCAAAATTCAAATTACTTTGTAGATTTAAAAAATAAATGAGTGAAAAAAAATTAACAAAAATATAATGCACCAAAATGAGTAGGTAAGTTAGAATCTATTACATTATATTAATAATTAACATATTTTTAATTAAGTTAAACATTTTTTTATAACTACAATTTTAGTGTTGAATATATTGTTTATTACCTAACAAATTAATTAAATCATTTTATGATTTACAAGTGTTTATATCAACAAGTGCTTAATACTATATAATAAAGGGTTTGAAAGTTATTATACAATATGGTAAGTATTTGTATTTCTGAATGGATGTTTTATGTGGGAATTATACGTATATGTTAAGTAAAAACATTTTAAATTTGGTAATTTATTCAATACAGTTTTAAAAAATTAAAAAATTAAGGCGATTCATGCTCCCCCCTGTGACCAGCTATCACCATTTGGACACTGACACTGTCCATTGAATTGGTGAGTTCCATTGTGATTGATGTAAATCATGGAGCTCCGAATTCGTGGGACTAAGGCAGGGAGTCCTCGCACTGGCATTATTCAGTACGGAAAACCTTTATATATAAATCATTATGAACACGAACGTTACAGAGGAGAGCTAGAAAAGGTCAAGAAGCGCAATCTACTGATTAAAAACATCGATAGTTTAAGAATTGATTCTCAAAAAATCGATTTTTTCGAACCGATTTTTTTTTGAATCGATTTTTTCATGTCGATTTAAATCGATTCAAAAAATCAATACACTTTCAAGAATCGCCCATCACTTCAAGACCCGATCCGAATGAACCGGATCGTTTAATTGACCCGTTTAGCACATCTCTATTTAGCGGGGAACGCTAATAAGATCCAAACGGGGAGGTCGATACGCCCCAAAATGCCTAAAACTCGAATTTTCGAAAAAAACGGCAAAAAGTGCGGGCGACGGCGGCGCTCGGTTCGCACGTGATATCCGCCGCAGAGGGCCGCAGAGAAAAAAGTACGGCGGACTTATAATAATAAATTTAGCGAGGAATGCGAATAAGGTCCGAGGGGAGTAAAAGTCGAACAGTTTGAAAAAAAATCGTGAAAAGTGATAAGGAGGAGTGATAACGCAGCGGCGGCTACGCAAAAAACGACGCGACGCATGTATTTATGCCTGTATATAGCGATACATACACGGTACCTACTCACGTTTCCGTTCACGTTTAACCTCCCCTGGACTCGTTTTTGAAAAAGTAAGGCGGCGCGCCGGCTATAAATTTAGCGGGGAACTCGAATACGTCGCCGACGGGGAGGTCGGGAGACTCGTAGAGGTGCCAAACGCGACTCTAGTCGAAAAAGTCGAGAAAACCGTCGAAACGATCGATTCGTCCGCCGGGATACTCGTTTTTGAAAAAATAGGGCTGCGCGCCGACTATAAATTTAGGGGGGAACGCGAATAAGATCCAAACGGGGAGGTCGATACGCCCTAAAACGCCTAAAACTCGAATTTTCGAAAAAAACGGCAAAAAACGCGCGTCGACGGCGGCGCTCGGTTCGCACGCGATATCGGCCGCGGCGGGCCCGCCGGGAAAAGAGTACGGCGTACTCGTAATAGTAAATCTAGCGGGGAACGCGAATAAGGTCCGAACGGGGCCGCCCGAGGCCCCCGGGCGGGATAAAACTCGAAAAATTTGAAAATAAATCGTGAATTTCGAGAAAATCGTGAAAAGCGATAAGGAGGAGTGATAACGCAACGACGGCTCCGCCGCCGCCGGGAGACGGCCCACGGTTAGAAATCTAATTTTCTCATTGGTGAGTTGCTGGTTCGGATTTAACGCATAGGGGGCGCCCTCGGGTTCACGCTTTATATAGTAATATATATATATATCTTACTATATAAAACGTGAACCCGAGGGCGCGCCCCGCGGTCCTTTTTCGCATCGTACTTAAGGGACGGCCAATGGGGAGCCCTCCCGGCGGCGGCGGAGCCGTCGCCGCGTTATCACTCCTCTTATCGCTTTTCACCGTTTTTCTCGAAATTTCTCGAAATTCACTATTTTTTTTTCAAAACTTTCGACTCATACCCCCCTCGGGGCCTCGGTCGGCCCCGTTTGGACCTTATTCGTTTTCCTCGGTAAATTTACAGTCGGCGCGCGGCCCTACTTTTTTCCCGGGGGGCCCGACGCGGCCGATATCGCGTGCGATACGAGCTTCGCCGTCGAGCGCGTTTTTTGCCGTTTTTTTCGAAAATTCGAGTATTAGGCGTTTTAGGGCGTATCGACCGCCCCGTTTGGATCTTATTCGCGTTCCCCGCTAAATTTATACCCTACGCGCGGCCCTACTTTTTCAAAAACGAGTCCCCCGGCGGACGAATCGATCGCCGAGGGCGCCGCGTCGTCGCCGTTTCGACGGTTTTCCCGACTTTTTCGACTGGAGTCGCGTTCCCCGCTAAATTTATAGTCGCCGCTTGGCCCTACTTTTTCAAAAACGAGTCCCGGGGAGGAGCGGCGTCGCTTAAACGAGAGTAGGTACCGATGGGGTATCGATATATACAGGCATAAATACATGCGTCCCGAGGTTCGATTTTTTTCGCGAATCTCGCGTTTTGAACGTCCGAGGGCCGCGGACACGGTCGTCCGCTCGCCGACGCGGTCGGATCGCCCGATCAAACGCCCTTTGACAGCCGTCCAAACGGCGTTCGCCTTTCGCGGGGACGGCGACGCGGCTTAATAGTCATAGATTTGACTCCAGTTTACAACTCGGTAGGTGGCTCGGTAGGTTAGGCGTTAGGTTAGGACACTCGTAGGTCGTGCGTTCGATTCCGGTCCCCGGGATTATCGATAATTTGCGGCGGCCGTGTTAAAATCGGAATTTTTTTCTCGAGTTTTTTTTTTCGTCGTTTCGCCATCACTTCCGTCTTATCATATTTAACGAAAATGTTCCGATTTTTTTCAAAATTCGAGTTTTACCGCCTCTACGGACTTCGGACCTCCCCGTCGAAGACTTATTCGAGTTCCCCGTCAAATGATTTAGCAGAGCGGACAGTGTCATTATTACTATACATGGGCGTGAATATAATATGCGACGAAGAGTTTGATTTCTCTTTTTTTTTTCGTTTTTTTCAAAAATTCGAGTTTTAGCTCCTTTTGGTCGTATTACCCTCCCCGTTTGAATCTTATTCGGGTTCCCCGCTAAATTTATAGCCGGCGCGTGGCCCTACATTTTCACAGACGAGTCCCGGGAAAGAGTGGCGTCGCGGAAAAGAGAGTAGGTACCGTGTAAGTATCGCTAAATACAGCAATAAATACATGCGTCGCGTCGTTTTTTGCCGTTTTTTTTCTAAAATTCGTATCTTGACCCGTTTTAGTGGCATTACACTTCCTGTTTGGATGTTATTGGCGTTCCCCGCTAAATTTATAAGCCGCCCGCTGCAGAGTCGGTCTGTAGGTGTACCAGGTACATGCATATTATAATATATAAATGTATATTTATCAAGAAATGATACACGGTGGCTGGGTTGGTTTAGTTAAATTATATATACTTTATAAAATATTATCCCAGCTCGAGTCGACGATGGATGTCACAGAAACAATAATATAAAATAATTATATATTAGGTATTATTAATTTGAGTATACAATAGGTAGGTTTAATCAAATTAATAAATAGATAATTGATAAATAACAATATTTAGATAATTGACAACCACAGCTATTGCTTTTATTATCTACATTTATGAGCAACGCACCTAAATCTTTGACATGGGCTCGATTAAATATTAAATAAATAATATACTATGTAGTAGGTAGGTACTTGATACAACTATTACAGTTTTTAGGTCAGTAAGATTTGGTTAGATTATAATACTGCTACAGATTATAAATAATACTATACGAGTATTAATAAACAAAATTGAACTTTATGTATTTATTTAAAGTCTGGCAATT